CTTGTCTCAACCAAAGAAGAGGAGAGAGAAGGGGGAGGGGAAGTTGAAGGCGTACATACATAGGACATTCAGTTGATCTAGGTACTGCCATACGCTCTGAAAGTAAACCTGCCGGCTCTTTCCCTTCTTAATGTTATCCATGCTGCTGTCGATTTGAAGGGGTATGATCGTTTCACTCAAAGAGCGGAGGGATGTCGTGGAACTGATTGTAGTGTTTCTTGGTGATGGTTTGCATTTTTAATTGCTAGGCTGTCATATGGCAAGGAAGAATATGTATACGGAACTTCTGCGTACAGCCCATTCTTTTGCATATCCAATCGGCTAAATTTTGGTCCCTCATATATGTCCTGGGCTCCTCCCCCATCAGCCCCCACCAGTTGGATGCTAAGTAATAGTTACATCTATGTTAAAATCCAAAAAGGGCAGCCATATTAAGATAGGCGTTACCTAGATAAGTCAATGAATACCTGAATTGGGCGGGGAAACATATAAAGGTACGGGAGTACGGAGTATCGAGTACATTGATCAGCTCTGCGTAATGAAGGTGGGTATGAAAATTCTCCACGGTTATTTAGTCTTCGGAGCGGACACATGGACTAGGGAGATGTCCAGGTGTGGACGGCATCGCCTCTTTTGTCCGTGGAACGGATCGCTTTTAATCATCGGGTATTCCCAATTGTGCTATACATGTAGTTTCAAGGCTTTTCGCTCACGATTGAAACAAAATGGGAAAGAAATGTCTGCACGGAAGCGGAAATCTGTTTGGAATGAGCTTTTGGGATGGCCTGCTATTTTAGAAGATCTAGAGCCGGGCCATGGGCTTGCTTCATCGAAGGGAATGTATCTGAATGAGTTTCTTCTTGCTTGGTCATTGTGGTGCGGGTGTTGTTAGTGATGCCTGGGCTGGTGTTTGATGCCCAGATAAGGTTGGCGGTGGCGGAATAATATTTCGCCTAGTGCAATTTCCGGAATAACTGCTTGACCGCACTCCGATGATTTTTTCGATAATTTTCCAACACTGGCAGAACTTCGGGTTGATAGGACGGAGATCTATTTTTGAGGATATCAGTCGAAAGGAAGAAGGGATAGGATAAAAAAAAGCCATGGCTGTGACTTCTGGTGTTCTCACCATCAAACCCACCTCCGGGACCCCTTACCAATTGAATAATGACCAGGTACGTTTATCTTTTCTCGCCTTCGTCCAGCTAGAGGAGAGCTCCAATGTATCGAAGAGATTTAGATGCTGATCGCGAGAGACATATTATCTATAGGTTACTCGGGCTTCATCCGCGCTTCTGCGGCATATAAAGGCGGAAGAGGAAAAGAAAGCTGTGGAATCGACGAAGAAGGATCTCCTGGCTAATAACGACGATGAAGAAGACGACGATGCCGAAGACTCTGCAGATGCTACTCCTGTCTGGCTCGTCATCACCACAAAAAAACATATCGTGGACAAAAACCGATTAAAACCTGGCAAAATCCCTGTCCCGCACTCCCTGAACACATCCCCTTCTCTCAGAGTCTGCCTCATAACGGCCGACCCACAACGCGCGGTGAAGGATGTAATTGCCGACCCTCAATTCCCAGCAACCTTGTCGTCGCGTATTACCAAAGTCATCGGCTACACTAAACTCAAGACTAAATATAAGAGCTTCGAGAGTCGACGACGGCTTTTATCAGAGCATGATGTCTTTTTGGCTGATGATCGGATTATCATGAGGCTGGTGGAGACCCTCGGAAAGATATTTTACAAATCCAGCAAGCGCCCCGTTCCGATTCGCATTGCGGAAGTGCAGAAGGTTGGAGGTAAAAGGGTGAAGAAGGAGGATAGGAAGAGACCACCAACCGATGAGAAGTACTCTGCTGTTGCATCTCCGGCTGTCGTTGCAAAGGAGATCGAGAAGACTCTGGCCAGTGTCCCTGTACATTTGGCGTCTGCCGCTACGACCTCTGTGCGCGTTGGCTCTGCGAACTTTACTCCAGAGAAGTTGGTGGAAAACGTTGAAGCTGTTGTTCAGGGTATGGCGGAAAAGTTTGTTTCCAAGGGATGGAGGAATATCAAGGCTCTACATCTGAAGGGTGCGAATACAATGGCGATGCCCATTTGGCTTGCGAGTGAACTGTGGGTTGATGAAGGTGATGTTCGAGAAGATGAGGACCCCAAGGCTATTGAAGGGTCGAAGAAAACAAGCAAGAAGCGCAAGTCGACTGGGGAGGCGGAACCTGCGAAGTCGAAGAAACCAAAGACTGCCGAGAAGGAAGAGGATGACGATGCTGAATTGATCGCGTCAAGGAAAGCCAAGCTTCAAGCCCAAAAGGCCCGAGCTTTATCAGACGGTGATGAGGTCAATGGGAGCAAGGCCGCCGTCGCCACCGCTCCCGAGGGAGCTACCACCTCCAGCAAGAAGAAGCGAAAGTCTGTTTCAAAGTCCTGATGGGTTTTCCTATTTTGTGTATACATGTTCAAGTATTGTTGTTCTTGGATTGAGTTCGGCGTTTTATTGTGTAGTACTTCCAATTTTTAGGAAATGATAGCTTATCGGGGCGAAGTTTCGATACCCATAATAACATAAAAGCCATTATCGAGCGTCGGACATTGCTATGATTATTCGCTTTCAACCAATTTTGGTCAAATAATTCATTAATTGTATCTCACGTCCATCCGAGAGTTATTCTCGCCGCTCTTGAGCGGCTTTTCGGCCAAATCGGCTTTGCCGTGAATTTCCGAGGGTCCGCTTAGTCATCCAGATTCCCGGCGTTCGGTTTGCGGCAAACAACTTCTCCCCTCCGAAATATCGTGAGAAACCAGGAATCCTGAAACGCAAACCAATCTCATTATACCCATTGATCTCACCTGGCAAGGTTCTCTTGTGCGAACCAGGAGGCTAGGAAAGAGCCAAACGATATTCAACTCAACGGAAGCATCCTCCTTGTCTTACCTCTAGCCATGAATTCCGTTCTTGCTAGAAACTCAATCCTTCGGGCGGCCGCTCCGCTACGACCCCAACCCATTTATCGGTCACAGCTCTCAGCACTTTCTCGGCTACTTTCTACCCTTGCGGTTCTTGAACAGCGCGATGGAAAGATCCAGAGTTCTTCTTTCTCGGCGATCACTGCTGCACAGAAACTGGGCGGCTCAGTAACTGCTTTTGTGGCAGGGGGTGGTGTGAAAAGCGGTGCGGCGGTAGAGGCCTCAAAGATTAAGGGTCTGGATAAGGTTGTTGCCGTGGACAATGCGGCTTATGATAAGGTATGCCAGGGTTTTTGTAGTTGGGGAGGCTGTCGGGTTAATTGATTGTCCCGTTGGCCACATGAGATAGCCAAGCGGAATGATATATATGCTAACCATGTACCTGCTCTACCAATATAGGGATTGCCCGAGAACTACGCTCCCCTTCTTGTTGAGAATATCAAGAAGGAAGGATTTACGCACATCATCGCTGCTCACAGCGCTTTTGGCAAGAATGTTTTGCCCCGAGTTGCAGCACTTTTGGATGTCCAGCAAGTATCTGATATCACAGCCATTGAGAGCGAAGATAGTGGGTTGACCCCATAGCCCGTGATCATGAATGATTTTTTATTGTACTGACTCCCGTTTTATAGCTTTTGTCCGACCCATCTATGCCGGAAATGCTATCCTGACCGTCCAATCCACAGATCCCGTGAAGGTCATCACGGTCCGAGGAACCGCATTCCAAGCCGGCGAAACAACAGGCGGCTCGGCAGAAATCGTTGATGGTGCCGATCCCAACGTACCATCTCCCACAGAATGGGTATCAGAGGACTTAGCCAAGTCTGACCGCCCTGATCTTGGCACTGCTTCCCGCGTCGTCTCTGGCGGACGGGGTCTTAAGTCGAAAGAAGATTTCGATAGACTGATGCCCCCACTCGCGGATGCTTTGGGTGCTGCCATCGGTGCCTCTCGCGCGGCGGTTGATAGCGGCTTCGCCGATAACAGCCTTCAGATCGGCCAGACCGGTAAGAACGTTGCGCCTGAGCTATACCTTTGCGCGGGTATCTCTGGAGCCATCCAGCATCTTGCCGGTATGAAGGATAGCAAGGTCATTGCTGCAATCAACAAGGATCCCGATGCGCCTATTTTCCAGGTTGCAGATGTTGGATTGGTAGGAGATCTATTCGAGAAGGTACCCGAATTGACTGAGAAGCTGAAGAAGTGAAAATAGCTGTATTTTGGTCTCCATTTATTCTTTGTCACATATATAAATTTTCTTTTTATGGCTTTCACTTGTTTCCTTTGGAGTCATCGCTCATAGCATTCCCACGTTTCCTCTTTTTTGCGCCGTTCTCGCTTCCTGATTAGAGACAATTTTTCTTCTGAACAATTGCCTGTACTGAAATCGCTGTTCATACTTATGTACAGTATAAACAAATATGCATTATATGAATAAAAGAAATAGTATGCCTAGGATATATCTCTAGGTAACAGATTTGGCTGAGTAGTTGCAGAAAAATCCTATTTGACAAATTTTGGCAGGTGTTTGAATTGCTATAATTTTCGAAAGACCTACCTCTGCTCACAATAAGACGGTGTCGTGGTGTAGTTGGTTATCACGTGAGTCTAACACACTCAAGGTCCCCAGTTCGAGCCTGGGCGACATCATCTCTTTTTGCATTTTTTTCCTGCCTATCTATGTATGTACCCGATAGTTCATCTCCAAGCCGGCAATTTGCTTTTCCCTTCCTTCTTTATTTCTTTGATTTAATTTTTGATGTTTAATTTTTTCTTGTTCTTTCTTAGTTTAGTATCCCTTAGAACTGTGCTTCATACCCGTAAGTCCTCAAAAACCAAGGCTCTGAAAAAAAGAAAAAAAACGAAAAACGAAAACGAAAAGCACGTGACATGAAAGCCCTAACGAGACTATTTTTTTCTGCTGTGCCAACGCCAGGAAAGTACTGTACAAAATCAGCAGCATTTACTTAACCTGAACGAACAACCCGACGAATCCATGCAGAGAAATACAAAAACAAAACAACGAAGCTGACGCTGTCCAGGCTCGAACTGGAGACCTTGAGTGTGTTAGACTCACGTGATAACCAACTACACCACAGTGCCTTTGCTTGTGAAGGCCGTTTGCCTTCGTGGGACAGAAGTTTTTTTGTTCGCGTGGGCCAGCATTCCATTCTTCTTTCGGCTTCTGGAAGCTTGTGCAGAATCGGTTTTTGATACGCTATCTCAGGGTTCAGAAGGCCGAAAGATAATTTCTCCTTAGCGTGTTTACGCGACTCGGATCAGACTGGTTAATGCAGACTGAAGGAGGACGAGGGTGATGAAGAGAGGAAGCGAATGGAGCAGTATCTTGGGCGACATGATGAATAATAGGCCAATATCTATGCGATCTTGAAGGTTTCTTACGTCATCTCCAATTGCTTGCTTGCTTGATTGATTGATTGATTGATTGATCGATTGATTGATTACATCTTTAAGTTGGTGTCTGCATCCCGTACGGGCGCTACGCAACTGGTCTTGAACTAGCCTAATTGGCCTCGCACGCTACCGCCTGCACAAATATAGCCCCCAAACGCCCGGTTAAGCAAACAAAGCAAACCTTTCCAAGCAAGCACAGCAAGGCAAAACAAACAGTACAAACAGTACAAACAAACAAACAAATAAACGCCATGCAGAGATTAACTTCCCTCAGCTATACGGAGTAGATTTCGGCTTTTCGTTACTTCAAACTTCAACATGAGCTGGCTCGCCCTTGTCTTCGTCGATCTTGTTGCACGCAATCGACAAAAGGAGGCGTTTCATTTCCCAATAAAGAATTGGATAACTAATCAATTTCAGAGATTTTCGACGTCATAATTAGAAATCAGCAAGAAATAAGCGTTCTGTCACAGGCTGTCAGCGGGGGTTGTGCAGGGCTTGGCCGAGTAAGCGCGGCGCTAACCTTCGCCGAAACCAATCTGCGGCTTATTCAGCTTGTCGCTGTCCAAGATTGGAAATCAACACCTCAACGAATACGGGGATGTCGAGTCACCACGCCAAATCCAGACCCCGATGACGGAGGGTGTGGGTAAACCATCTCGAAGTCTTCAGCGATGGCTATCGAGTCCTTCTCGCTTGCGTAAGTGTGGACGGATCTTTGGTCAATACAACCCGTCACTGGCAAGATCTATTGTTGCCTGGCACAAGGCAAGATGGAAGTTGAGGACAGGCTCCTCGCCCTCCCAACCCGACATCGAACGACGGTGTTGATTATTAAACTTCCATTATTTCTCGAGCACGCCCTTTACTATGGAAATGAGTCACCCTGGTTTGCCCAAAAGCGGCCTGCATTTTTCCAATGCACGAATGCGCCCGAAAAGACCTTGGCTAGAGGTTTGGTGCTTTGCTGTTGTTGGTTGATGCCGACATAAATTAGACCAGCTTGACGGTCTGGGCTTGCATCATAACATGCACGGATACGATTGGGTCTCTTAGGCACATTTTTTAGGAGCTGTCCCAAGGGGCTGGCCGATTTAGTTTGACTAGTTTCGAGTTTTTCATCGGTGATCAAGCACTCGGACCCGTGTAATTGCGGGCACTTACTAATTGTGATAGAATAAAGTGACCACTCCTGATAATGATTGATCTCAAGGTTTTACGCCCTTTGAGGAGGCATGGGGGTGAAGGCACAGTATAAGAAGAGGGTTCGATCCCTCTCTTATCCTACATCTTTCTTCTCTCCATCATCAATTCAAAGTACCAAAGCTCTGAAAGAATCCTCTATTTCTCAAAAGAACACCAAAGAAGACTTTTCTCAACTTGACTTTATATACCCTCACGATATCTCAAAAAGATCATTTTCCTGAAGCAGCCAAATCCTGTTCAAGCTTTATATCAAATCCTATCACGTCCTGACGAGCCGTCTCTTTATCAAGCCGTCCCAAAAGCAACAACGGAAATTTCTATCTTCCTCCTTCGACGAAAGGATAATTTTTATCAGAAAATCCTAAACATGGCTTTCAACGCTTCCTCTAAGTCTACCTCTACTCCTCGTGATAGCTCTTCGTCCTCAATTCGAAGTTCATCGTCCATCGCGAGAATGAAGGCCATCCTTCAGCAGTCGGCAAAGAAACCCAACCAAACGAAGACCCAAACCAGTTCGAAGAACATCCCCACTATCATGGAAGCCCGTGCTTCATACTTCGCAACCAGATAGTTATCAAAACGCGACAGAGTGGCTTATATGCCCTGTCCATTTCGACGAGTTATCTGATAGAGGAATAATTAGTAGGAAATGATGCGTTTGGCTGGGAGCATGGAGTTTGGTGCTTGAGAATATTCCCCGTTGTGTCTTTTTCCTATTCTTCGTTCTTGTCTTTGTTTTCTGTTCTTGTCTGTTATTCCTTTGTCATTTGTTATTTTCTTGTTACGACAGACGGTATGCTTGGTTCCTAAGAAGGTGTTTCGTTGGCTCTTGAAAGGAAAAGTTCTAATTTGTGTGAATGGGTGTGTGCTGTATACCTTCCAACTTAATTTTTGTTGATGTCTCAATGTCCTTTTCATGACTTTTCGCTACTTGTTTTGACTAGTTAGTTTTTTCATCTAATAAACCACCTAATATTAACATTATTAAGAATAAGGAATTATATACACATCATATCTGATTTTACTACATATTTCCTCATCATCACAAAAATATCATTCACAAAGTAGCTAATCCTCTCAATGTAGAGGTATCTTTTGAAAAGTTTCAGCCTGGGTGCATGCAGGGCAACCAAATTCCTATTGGTCCAAGTACTGTTTATGCAACGCGCAGGCAGAAATAAAATTTCTAAGTTGGAGGCCGGTGACCGTCACAAAAGACACGCAAGCTACATACATACATGGTCTTATCCACTTCCCTTTTTATTTGGTTTGCAGTAGGAGGGATTAATCATGCATACCAGGACAGGGGATGCTTGCTTATAATTGCCGGTGTCGTTTTCGGGAAAGGGCGGGGCTGACGGGGCTGACTTTAACTACCAGCCGGCTCGGCTTTCGGGACCGGGGGCGGCCTGGTGATCTGATAAGATGCCCAGATGATAAGATCAAGCAATACAGTACAAGTCAGCCCCCTTGCAAGGGTGTTGAGCCGTTTCTGGGCGCTGATTCGGCCAGAAACGACCCTGGCTCTAGGCATACATGTTTCGTTGCCTCGATGACGCATGGGTGAGCCGCTTCTCATGAACTAGTTATAGGATTGCGTGGGAGGTGTTCTAGAAGAATCTGATCCAAGATCCTGGAGGTTTCCGTTCATGGGTTGAGGCTCTATGCATGGATTGCTCGAAAGAAAAGCCGCTGGTTGGTGAGCGGAGTCCGTGAGGTTCCCGGCCTAGACTGGCGTTGCCAAAAGGAGCCCAATTTTATGTGCCGTTGGTTTGATTCTGTTTATCAGCTAGGCACGTTTTTCACAGTTGTTAGCTGGAAAAGTCTCCGTTGTGCACCTTGACAAACCGAAGCTATTTTCAAGGACTTTGCGACGAGGATCCCGTCATGGGTGGCGAGATACCCACTTAGCATCGTGGGAGAGGACCAATTATTTATGATTGGATCAGTGTATTGGAAACAAAGTGCAGATACGTAAGTAGTTATGAAAAAGGGTGCCTGGATTGAACCTCTCATGAATACAGGATGTCTGCCTCCCCAACGCTCCTATTATTACCATCTCTTAAACCCGGGCTGATCCTATATTTCATCCTCAACAAAAAAAATCCCCTGAACGCCTGATGAGACTTGCTGAGGATACGTCATTCCACCAGCTTGCCTCCGAATTTCCCTCAGGGTATGGCTCCCAACAAGACCAGATGATTAAATACTAGCCGTCCAGGGACTATTTTGCCAAAGTCAGTCATTGTCGTGGCACGTCAGCCCTCAGCCTCAGCCTCAGCTTCGGTTGATGTGATGAACTGCAGGGGATTAACGAGATATCAAGTGGAAGCCTGGCAATGCATGATTAGGGAGAATAATAAAATTGAAAAGTAATAGTACAGTACCTACAAAACAAAACCGCTGGAACCCTTACTTTACCTGCTGCAAATCTCTATCCAGCACCTAATTATAAGTTTAGGTGTAGACGTGTAGAACCTTCTAATTCTTGTGGTGGAACGACAAGGGAACTAGCCCATCCTCGCCATATCCCTGTGCAGTGGGACTGAATACTTGACGGATGGGCATTTCGAACTCCTTTCCCATGACAGTGTAGTAGATTCAGGAACCGAAACAAGCGATGTCATACTCAATTGATATGCCGCCTTCGTTGATTTCCTTTCAATATTTATATATTCAGGAACGCTGCGAACGTCCGCAAGTTGAATAATTCGAGTGTCTGTTTATCAGAAAAGACACCCATAAGGACACGCTTTGAATGTGCATACGAGATAGTAGTAGTAGCATCCGGCGCCCAGCTTAGTTGCTGAGTCTGGCAATTCTTCTCTTGCGATCACAGCTTGTCACAAGCCCTCCCCTGTGGAAAGGGGAGATGCGGATGTATCTCAAGCAACACTACCTGAAATCCTAAATGTTCACGTATCCTCCTTTTGTGTTCTCGTAGACAATAATTTGAAGCTAGAAGAGTCTCTTGCGATCCGGAATGCACCTTCAATGTAACCTTTTTCAATGATTGAACCAAGCCAAACATGCTTGGTGGAAGGGAAAATCTCCAGCCGGCCCATGTAGTTGGCCGTTGAATAGATCAAATTCGCAACGCGGTCGGGTTACAACATCACATATCACAGCACCGATTTGGTTCCATCCGTGGATACCTTACCGGGATTTTGCGTCTCTGAAACTTGCTCTCTTGATACCAATTTGATTCGTAGACCGCTGCACTAACGGCAGGTTCAACAGCTATGAGCGCGGTTTGCTGATTTGACTTATGAGGTTGCACTTATTCTCGTGGGTGATATAATGTATCAGTTCCTGAAATTTCAATTTTCGCATTTGTATAAATGAAAGCTAATGAGAAAACCACAAATTAGTCCTAGGTACAGTACAAAATAAGTCCTCTTGCCTGTTCATCTGGGCCCCTTTTACCTCCATAGGAAGCTAACGGAATAGCCCATAGTCAGATATCAGATATAGATATTGTT